CTCCCTCCATCCCCCTTCCCTCCCTTCCTTGTAGAATAGAAAGTCAAACATTAAAATGCATTCCAATAATAGAGGTCTGTTTTCTTGGAAATTGTGTTTCAATTTTAGAATTTGTGAACATATTTCTAGTGCACAGCACCAAACACATCTTTTCCTGGTGTTGGTAATCAAAACCCTTTCAAAGTCTCTGCTTTAGAATGAGCTTGGAGACAGGGCGAGAGCATCCAGGCTGTAGACCCAGGGGGTTTAGAAAGCTGCTGTGCATGTCAGTGTGGAAGGCTGTGGACAAGATATCAGACCCAAATTGTTCTGGGCAAGAAGAGACAAGAGGATGACCTTGAGGGTCTCAGTTTACAATTTACTCTATCACATGTGTACTCAAGATCGGGAGCTCCTTCTCCCATTTCCCTTCGCTCTCTGGTTTATACTTTTGTCCTTCCACATGCCTGTCCCTTGCTTAAGTTGTTCTCCCCTGCTTAATTCCTAATCGACCTTTTAAAGGCAACTCAGATATTAAGCCCTCCAACTCTGCCGGAAATTCTGTAATCTTATATGATTCGATGCCTGCGTAATTATTTACCTAATCTCACTTACTAGACATGACCAGGCTTATGAATCTTTGTGCCCATTTGGATAGGTTGGGATCCAGAGCAGTAAGGTCATAGAAAGGTAGGTAAGAGGTTGGGGTGGGGCAAGACCCCTGTGTGAGCTTTATCTGTATAGCACTTTTGTTAAGGCCCATGAATAAGGTCAAGAATGAAGGTCGCTGATAGACTGGGGGAATGGCTCAGTTGGTAAAGTGCTAGATATATAAGCATGAGGACCTCAGTTTGAATCCCAAGTACCCACAAAAAGCTGGGTGTGGTGCCATGCATCTATAACCAGGGCTGAGAAGATGGAGTCAGGAGGCTCCTTGGGGCTCGCTGGCCAGTCATTCTAGCCAAACTGATGAGCTCCATGTTCAATGAGAGATCCTGCCTCAAACAAATAAGATGGAGAGCAACTGAGGACGACACCTGGTGTTGACGCCTGGCCTCCACATGCATACTTACATACATGTGCATTGCACACACACACACACACACACACACACACACACACACACGATTGGAGATGATTTATCAGGATCATGCAGGAAATTGAAACTGATCTCCGAGGACAGCCTGTGGCCTCACTAATCCCCAGCCCTTTACAGGAAAAAGCTGAACACTCGAATCATCTGCCCAGCATGGGGCAGCTTCCAAGCCACCAGTAAGCAATTCATGCATTAAAAGTGGCCACAGGCCAATGGGGACACGTAAGAACCTACCAAGAGCCTGGGCTTTAGAATTTCCCTTTACATAAGAATCTTTCTGAGAATTTATTAAAGTGTGGATCTTTTGCCTTAAGTGTTTTTTGTAAATGAAAATAATTGGCCAAGCTTATTGAAATAATCTCTTGAGGATACTGCCTTAGAACCTGTAGGTTAGCAAACCATTTCCCATTTTTCCTTTAAAAAAGATTTAATAAGGTTTAATCTTATTTTTAATTAGTTTTAGTGGTTTGCAGGATTTATATTAAGTTGGCATATGCTAAGATGGGCAAACTAGAAGCTGTTTTCTGTCTTGAGTGGGCCAGTGTCCTTCTGATTGGCTGACATTCCTCCCCTGGATGTCGGTGCCTCCCCACAGTCTAGAAGCTCAACGGTTCAATCTTAAAGAGGCCTCTACACGACTTTGGCACTGCAGCAGACATTTACTTTTATGACCATTCAATGATTTTATTTAAATTGACAAAATCACATGTATTCTTTTACATACTCTTATATAAATGTTTGAGACCATTGTGGAATGACTGTGACTAATCCCAGGTTGGGGGGCAGTCATGACCAGTGTCTGAGGCATTCTATACAATGAAGAGCTACGCTATAAGCAGTATTTCCAAGGGTTAGAGGCAAAAGGTCACCGTCAACTACATTTGATGGAGAAGCCTTTGTGGAGATGCAGTTGAGCTCTGAACAGAACCAGATTCTAAGTATGCAGAGAGGAAGAAGCAGGCTGGAGAGGTGGTGGGCACTGTCATGAGCACTAGAGTTGGGGGAGGTGGATCAGCAGCTCCATCACCAATAACCCTGTATGAAAAAGGCCCTTGAGTTTCTCTAATAGGGCAGCAGGAGAAGCTAGGAGCCAATGAAGAATGAGTTAAAGAAAGGCATGTGGTCCTGAGGTTGTCAGAGACAGTGGCATTCAGTGGGGAGCACTCCAGAATTCTGCAGCAGCAATTTTGGTTAAAGCAAGGAGAGGGCACAGTGCTTTCTTTGAGGTGGAGGCTGAGAATGGTAGATGGGTTCCAAGTGGGCATCACATCCAACTCCCAAATGTAAAGTCTGTTGATGAGTATCTAAGCCTAAATTCTTTTACATATAAGCACAGCTTCCCTCCAGTTTAAAAATACTCAGAAATGTGACTCTTCAGTCTGCTAGGCTCCAGGTTTCCTTCTGATTGGATTCATCCCTC